TTTTTATATCTAAGCAGTTGTACTTAATAATAATCAATTTGCATTGTCACTCATCGTAGATCAAGTCCTCAGTAGGTGAAGCCTCTTCAACACAAGCCACACCTTTAAATACGGTGAGAATGAAGTCACTTCTTTATTTCAATTGCTTTATGTGTTTCTCTCTTGGCCTCTTCCATAATGGTGTTCAAATGCCTTGTTGATGGGTAATGTTTTTTTGTTGTGAAGGTTCAACATCCAACCTCCACTGGACAATCAACACAGACAGTGACATCGCCTCCACCAATTGCCTCTGTTGTGGCAATGTATGAACCCAATAATACAATCACGTTTTATATCTTGATTAGTTGTGCAACTCTTCTTTGAATATGAATTTTGCTCTGCTTTCATGTGCAGCCCACAGTCTGCTCCTGAATCTGCCCCAACTCTTCCAAATTCCGCTTCTTCTGTGTGAGAAATTGTCTTACATTTGTTTTACAGTAAATTTTAATATGTACCCAAAGTTTATGTTTCAAGACAACAATTTGGTTTTTTATCTATTACCTTTTAAGGAATTTTTGTTTTTGTTTTTGTTTTTATTTTTGCTCAGTTCTGAGCTAGATGTCTATGATCAGGCAGTATCGAACCTTGTAGCAGGAAGTACCTTAGAGTCCACAATTCAAGAAATTCTTGAAATTGGCGGGGGCAATTGGGACCGGGAGGCAGTCATGTGTGCTTTGCGTGCTGCATATAACAATCTTGAGAGAGCTGTCGATTACTTGTGTTCGGTGAGTTCATTTTTTTGAAATATCAAATTATATTCTGAACTCTGAAGTATACCACATATGAAGCAAATGAACCGAGATGTTGGGTCTGACATCCATATTTTTGTTTTAACTCCTAGACTTTTTGATTATTTTGGTACAAGCACAAAGCAAGCTATTTAAGCAGTTATGCCTTTTTCTGTATATCTTCTTTCTTTTAGCAATCCTTTTTGTTTTTTTACTTTCTTAGAGAAGGTTCAGGTTTGAAATTTTATTACAAAGTATGTATTTATTTTGTTAATTTGGCACCATAAGTTTTCCTGAAATATATAAAATTAGAAATAAGTTTCCTCCATCTTCTTACCATGCAAGATGCATAGGAGTTCGCAAAATGTATATTCGGGATGAAAACTGGCATTGCCCTAAATGCAGAATTAATAAACTCAGACCAACAACAATAAGGGGAACATCTTTGAGAGGAGCACAATTGTTTGGTGTTGGTTTTTGTGGACTTATCTTCATGGGATGCTGTGATCATTTACTTCTTGTGTATATCTCTTGTCTGATAGTAACTTGTTGGCTTTTTAGTTAATTCCTGTTATTAGCAATGACCATTTTATTATTCTATTTTAAAGTTAAAGACATAAGATGGCTGCCTTTTTTCTATAAGCCAGAGAGCTGTGTAGCTTCTTTTATTTCTATGATGCTAGGTTGCTTATCTTATCGCATGTTTTTGTTCCATTTGGTGCAAGTTACAGGATCCAATGAACTCAGGTTCTTGCTTCAGATACTACAACGAAAATAGCAAAGGCGTCGCTTTTTTAAAAACAACCGATGCTAATACTTTTTTTTAAATTAATAAAATAGCAAAGGCACCGGTTGTTTAGAAACAACCGATGCTAATACTTTTTTTTTAAATTAATAAAATAGCAAAGGCATCGGTTGTTTAAAAACAATCGATGCCAATACCTTTTTTTAAAGTTAATAAAATAGCAAAGGCATCGATTGTTTCCAAAGCGATGCAATTGAATTGGACCAATTGCATCACTTGCATTTACATCGGTACAAAACTGATGCTAAAGGTATAAAACAACCGGTGCCTTTGCCCCTTTGTGTACTAGTGAAAGTCGGCATCACTAAAACCAATCAAGCTTAAATTCGTATTCTTAGGATACCATACACCCATATTCGTTGTTCCCTTAACATATCGAATTATTCGCTTGATGGCATTAAGATGTGATTCTTTGGGTGATGATTGGAAACGTGCACAAAGACAAACGGAAAACATTATATCGGGTCTAGATGCAGTTAAATAAAGCAAACTACCAATCATACCTCGATATACCTTTTCATTTACGGGTTTTCCGCTTTCGTCGTTGTCAAGTTTTAAAGATGTGCTCATTGGAGTCGGATATGTTTTTGAGTCTTCAAGGTTGAACTTCTTGACTAATTCTTTGGCATACTTGGTTTGGCTAATGAAAATACCATCTCCAAGTTGCTTAATTTGAAGTCCAAGAAAGAAGTTCAACTCACCCATCATACTCATTTCAAATTCGCTTGTCATAATTCCTGAAAATTCATTACATAAGGCTTCATTAGTTGACCCAAAAATAATATCATCAACATAAATTTGCACAATTATGAGATCTTTTCCTTTTGTTTTGACAAAAAGTGTGGAATCGATTTTTCCTTTTGCAAATCCATGTGAGATGAGATGTTCGGTAAGCCGCTCATACCAAGCTCTAGGAGCTTGTTTGAGTCCATAAAGGGCCTTATGAAGTTTAAAAACATGATTTGGAAAATCAGGATTTTCAAAACCGGGAGGTTGTTCAACATAAATTTCTTCTTTTTAACCACCCATTTAGAAAAGCACTTTTTACATCCATTTGAAAAAGTTTGAAATTGAGAGCACTTGCAAAAGCTAATAACATTCGAATAGATTCAAGCCTAGCAACCAGAGCAAAAGTTTCATCATAGCCCAGTCCTTCAACTTGGCTATAGCCTTTGGCAACAAGTCGACTTTTATTGGTGATAATAACACCATTTTCATCAAGCTTGTTTCTAAAGACTTATTTAGTGCCCACAACGGGCCGGTTTTCCGGTCTTTCAACTAGTTCCCAAACCTTGTTGTGTTCAAATTGCTCAAGCTCTAGTTGCATGGATATAATCCAATCAGTATCTTTTAGTGCATCTTCTACGTTCTTAGGTTCATATTGACTAGCGAACGCATAGTGTGCACAAAGATTGTAATTGTTCCTAGTTCTAACTCCCTTTTCAATATCTCCAATGATATTGTCTCTTGGATGATTCTTCAAGTGTTTGTATGCCTTCGGTAGTTCCTTGTTTGCATTTTCTTCTTCTTGTGCAGGAATTTCCAGGATTTCTTCTTCCTCTTCTTCTTCATTTGAACCTGCAATTACCTTACTCGACCCAAAGGGATCGGTTTCATCAAATTTTACATGCATAGATTCTTCTACTTTATTCTTTGATTTATTATATACCCTATAGGCTCTAAGTAATACCCGGTTAAAAACGTAGCATGCCGTGTTGACCGCTTCTCCCCAAAAATATTGAGGTAGGTTGTGTTCATTCAACATGGTCCTTGACATTTCTTGCAACATCCTATTTTTCCTTTCAACAACTCCATTTTGTTGAGGTGTTCTAGGAGTCGAAAAGTTGTGAGAAATACCATGTTCATCACAATATGTTTCAAAAGTGGTATTCCGGTATTCTCCTCCTCTATCACTTTTAATAGAGGTTATTTCATAACCTTTCTCATTTTGGATTTTCTTGTACAACTTTAAAAACGCATTAAACGCATCATCTTTATTGGCAAGTAATATAGTCCAAGTATAACGAGAAAAATCATCTACAATTACAAAAGTAAAACTAGCTCCACCTAGGCTTTGAACGTCTACGGGCCCAAATAAATCCATATGTAATAGTTCAAGTGGCCTTGACGTTAAAACCATTTTTATGGGCTTAAATGAAACTTTATGTTGTTTTCCAAGGGAGCAAGCATCACAAAAATGAGAAGTAGGTATGCTCATTTTTGGTAGCCCAACAACAAGTTCTTTTGAGTAAAGTTTCTCAAAAGATCATAACTAGCATGTCCTAGTCTACGGTACCATAAAGTTGAAAATTCAAGTGAAGTAGTTGACAAGTGATTTTTGAGTTGCTTAAGTCATTGGAATTGAACTTGTATAAGTTTCCATCTCTTTTAGCCTCAAAAATGATTTCATCTTTATTTTGGCCATATAAAACGCAGGAATTTGCATTAAACTCAATTTTGTGGCCATTGTCACAAAGTTGGCTTATGCTAATTAAGTTAAATTTTAGGCCATCAACAAGATAAACATCATTTATTGAAAAATCACTTGAAATACCTATCGTACCTTTACCAATGACTTTCCTCCGGGATTTCTCTCCAAGGGTCACATGTCCATGACTTTTCTCCTTGAGGTGTGTGAACCATCCTCTTGTTCCGGTCATGTGCCTCGAACATCCACTATATACAACCCAAGTAGTATTTTTCACCTAGTCAAAACGGAATTTACTTTTGACTTAGGTTTGGGGTTCCAATCGACGAATACCCTATGTCGATATACGGGTTTCGTCTTGGTTGGTTCCGGAAGTGGTATATGGACTTTTCGTTTTTCGTCATAATAAAAGAAATAGTATCCACCATCATTTCTTTTATTTTCCTGCAAAAAGGGTTTCTTTTGATATCCAATATTCTTGGATTCCGACCGGTTAGAACCCTTCTTGACCCATTTTAATTTACGCATTTCAACTAACCATTTGTTTGGACACTTTGTCACAATATGGTTAGCTTGCATGCAATAATGGCAAGCCTATACTTTTGATTTAGAAGTTGAGGCTTGGTTTGATGGGTTTGTTTTTGAGGTATTAAAATGATTTTTAGCCATGGTCATCAAGTTTGTGGATTGACCATAACCAATGTCTTCTTTTGTTAGTTTTGGTTGGTCATCCCACATATTTATTGAGCTATAGCTATCATAAAACATTTCCAAAGCCCCTCGCATGGCCTTGTCTTTTTCTTTAATCAAAATTTCAATTTTCTTTTGAAATTCTTCATTTTGGTTTTGAAGTTTCTCAAGATTAAGTTTTAAAATTTTGTTTTCATCCCAAGAATTTTCAAGAGCCACTTTGAGTTCCTTTTTCTCCCTAATGGTTCGAAAAAGGTCCTCTTGGCATTCATCAAATGCTTGCCTTAACTCATCAAAAGTAATTTGACTTTCAAAAGAGGTAAATGAATTTTGAGAACTAACCTCTTCTTCATCATTGGAGGCCATGAAGCAAGCATTTGCGTTCTCTTCTTGGCTTTGGTCACTATCACTTTCGTCGGAGTTTACATTGTCCCAAGTGACTTTTAATGCCTTCTTCTTCCCCTTTTTAAGCTCTTCCTTCTTTTTTAGCTTTGGGCACTCCAGTTTGATATGACCTACATTTCCACATTCATAGAAAGTTATTTGATTAGGTTTACCTTTCTTTGATGGGAATCTTTTTGAGGATTCGCCCTTGTTCCATTTCATAAACTTCTAGTATCTCTTGAACATGGCAAGCTCCTCATCACTTTCTCCTTCGCTTTCCGGATGGTCATCAATTTTGAGTGTCATGGTCTTCTTGATGATAGGAACCTGTTCTTCTTCCTTAATTTTCTTCAAAAGAAGCTCGTGAGAGTATAGGCTGCTTCAAATGGTAGAGGTTTCAACATCCGCACATTTGGGCAACAAGTTTACAACAAGACTATGCCACTCTCTAGGAAGAGAGAATATAATCTTGGTGTTAATCTCACTAGTAGGATAAACTTTATTTAGCTTACTCAAATTGTTGATGATGAGGTTGAATCTTTTGTTCATATCTTGAACGGACTCTCTGGCCTTCATCTTGAATTTTTCATACTCGGATGTTCCTAAAGCTATCTTGGTAGCTTTGGTGTCTTTATCTCCTTCATGGGTGGCTTCTAGGAGCTTCCATGCTTCATTTGCGGATTTGCAAGAGCTCACCCTAGCAAACTCATCTTGACCCAATGCACAAAACAATACGTTTAATGCTTTGGCATTCAAAGAGAGCTTTTTCTTGTCATCGATTGTGAGCTTGTCCATTGACGTAGGCACTTGATGTTCACCTACAGTTGTCATAGGAACAAAAGGACCATGAGTAGTGACTATCCATAAATCATAGTCAATAGATTGAATGAAATTCTCCACTCACATTTTCCAATAGCCATATTTATCCCCATTGAAGAATGGTGGCTTGGTAATGCTTTGGGAGTTCATTGAATCCATGTGTCGTAAAAAGAAGTAAAAGATGAGTGTGAAAGGATCAAACTTCCTGCTCCGATACCAATTGACAGTCAATTTACACCCTAAGAGGGGGGTGAATTAGGGTGTTTGCAAGTTTTTCGTAAAAAGTAAAACTTATGTGCAAAGTAGTAGCGGAAAAAGAACAAGAAAAATATAAAAGATAAAAATACGACACAAGCGATTTTATACTGGTTCGGGAACTCCCTACTCCAGTACCTCGACGCTCCTCCTCAAGGATTTAACCTCCACTAACTTGTTTGGCTTCACTAAGAAGACTCAAACGAGGTTTGACAAACAACCCTTGCCAATAAGCAAATGAGATTTTACTACGGCTATCTCAACCGTTTACAACCGAAGATTTTAAGGCTATCTTCAACCTTACAATGAGGATTTAAAGGCTATCCACACCTTTTACAAATCAATAAAAGATTGGTGTTGCTTCTCTATCAAAAT